CTTCGCAATAAAGTCATATCGTTAGTACGTGTCCAGTGGAATCACCATAATGAGGCTGAGTCTACTTGGGAACAAGAGGATGTCATTCGCTCACAATTTCCAGATATAATGGAAGAAGGTAAGGGCGAATTCCGAGGAGGGAATTCCTTTTATTAGGGGGGAAGAATGTAATATCCCTAATTTAAAAAGGATAGTCTCGGTATTATTTTTAATAGTTTTAATTGCATTTAATTATTTTGTTGTTTTCTTGGCTAATTGTTTACTTGTTTAATTGATTTAATTATTTGTTTAAATTGAATTGTATGTGATGATGTATATTTATTTAGGAATTTAATTGTTTTATTTTTAATTTAATTTTATTTATTTTATTTTTATAATTTTATTTTATTTTATTTTTATTTTGTTTTAGTTTGTCTTGGAATGGGAAAAGGATTAGGGTTATTTTAGTTGCCTATAAATATATAATTATAGGGTTGTGAAAGAGGTTAGAAAATATATTACGTACTATATTTTAGAGAGAGAAAGAAGGAAGAGGAAGGAAGAGAAAAGGAAGAAGGAGGTTAGGGTTTTTATCTAATCCCTAAAGGCAAGTTTTAATTCTTCTCTTCTCCTTTGATTCATACCCTATGCATGCTATATTAATTCTAGGTTCTTTAAATAAATTGATTGAATCAAATTACATGGATTAATTTAGAAATTTCAGTTCGTGCTTTAATAATGGATTTTGATTATTCTTTTATGATGAAATGGACATTGTTGGTGACCTTGGTTGTTAATTTAATTTATTTTAATTTTACTTGAATTAATGCTCGCATGTGTCAGTATTGTGTATATATAAATACGAAATCAAAAAAATTATTTATGCCTAAGGAATGCACACGAAAGATTAATGAATCAGTGTTGTGCAAAAAGCATAAGCTAACTCATGCTTATCAGTTGTGTGACTAAAGTATGTGAAATCAAGATTTTTGGTTTCTTCATGGAGGCACGCCGAACAAGGAAGGAAAAAGATTATGCACGCGACACATACAATTGAGTGAATCAGTTTGATGATTGTGGCTTGTAGTTGAAATTTTATTTATTTTATTTCTTTGTTTTCCTAAGACATACACGCCACATGAGGAAGAAAAAGGGAACATTTAACAAACTGTTAGATTAGGTGAGTAAGAATGAATCTTGTATACATGAAAAACATAATAATAAAAATAATTGGTTATGCATTAAATATTTTAAATGTTATTTTGATTAATGTTAGAATATTAAATTAATATTTGTTGTTTTTGATTGATGGATCTAAATTAAGTATTTATTTAATTTAATTAGATTCATTAAAAATTGGAATGTATGATTTAAGCTTACATGCTAAGTATGAAATGTAATTAATTTGAAAAGGATAAATTAATTAAATAATGTTGGATTAAATTATTTTAATCAAATAGTTAGATTTAAATTAATTTAATCAGAATATGGAGATTTACAATTTAGTTGAGATGCATGTTAATTTCTTATGATGTAAATTAAATGCATGCTACTTAGAATTTATATTTTTGCTCAAGTAAATGCAAAGGATGTGTATATGATTTATATCATGTTGATTTGGATTATTATATGTAAGCATTATTTACATTATTCTTGGATTTGAAACTTTTATTTGATTATGATATGGATTAATGCACCATTATGGGATGGGGGCATATTAGGGACAGATTAACTTAAGAGTTAAGTCCTACCTATTTTTAATAAGGGAACGGATTAACCATAGTGTTAAGCCCTACTTATTCGTGTCAGGTCAACAGAATAGTTGGATGACATATTATTAAAATAATAATTGGATAGTTTATTTTTGATGGTTGGATATGACAGATTTTAAATATATAATTATATGCCATGATATGAGCTTGAGTCTCAGGATCAGTGGTTAGGGTGCGTATATTGCCAGGGATGTGTAGCTAGATATAGTGTAGTTGTGTACCCTGGTAGGTCTAGGTACTCATGCCCACTATATGTGCGTTTGGCATGTTGCCTACTATTCAGGTTGAGACAACTCTATAGTCTAGTGAGGTTCCTTTAGTGTGTATATATCTACATATGGACTACTTAGTTATTGTTGAATTAATTAGGATGTGTACGTGTATCGGGTCTCTGTTTGGGATGTAGTAGATTAGAACTTGTTTGTGGGCCTGACCCACCATTATTTTTCAGGTGTTCGTCAGTTCCAGTCTTAGAGATTGTTCGTGCCGAGCAGAGACAGTCATTCACTCTTCCGACTCTACGTAGGACTCGTCTTCATTAGTTACTTATTATTTTTATTTCGATTCAGTTATTTCAGTTAGGATATTATTAGGGGTCCACAGTATGGATTCCCGAGTTGTAGTTTAATTAATTACTGGTATCTGAGGATTGAAGGATTTTACTATGGGATTTTAATCATTATTTATTTGAGGATTTTTAAATAAGGATTTATTATTTAGTTTTCCTTTCAACTTATCTATTTATTTTTAATTCATCTTGTATTCCAATGCTTGTTTAAATATTAATTGTTTGATATCCCTCGGATCTGTACTCGGACTTGATCACCCGTGACTCTAAAATCGAGGGGTATCATAAGGCATGCCCAGAAGGGGTAGGGGGCCTAGTCTGAGGAGGCCTTGGTAGAGATAGCACATTCGGCCCAGAGGGCCTAACCCTCTGTGACAAAAGAACATCATCGGGTCTGAGGGCACTGTCAGGCTGGTGTCTTTTTCTTTTTACCTTTTCCCGTACGGAAGCAGTAGTAGAGCCGGAAGGATTGCTGACAGAAGGGATCACAATCGGACTGGCGGTCGCTGTGTTGGAGATCGGGTCAGTAGCCGTCACGATTGGATCTGTAGAAGGAGTGGTATCAGAAAGGGTAGCAGAGGAAGATGCTGAAGCTGGTGAAGAATTTGCTGCAGGGGTGATAACAGGCCTGGGGGTAGTTTTCTTCCTGCTAAAGGAAGGGATCTGGAGTTGACTCATTATCTTGCCGAGGGCTGAGAGAGTAAGGAGGTTGTCTGAAGTAAGGAGGTCCGAATAGGAGGGAACGTTGGTTAGAACGTACTGCTTCAGGTAATTATCCTTATCCCTGCACACACCGTAGCTCAAATCATCACAAGGAATGCCTAAGGAACGGCACAAGAAAGTACAAAAATGGGGAATGCAAATCTCGTAAGGACAGTCACTCTTATGGGTTTTGTAAATCTTGTAAGAAGAGACAGAGCACTCTCCAAAAGCGCTCGGGATACGGAAATTCTCCGCAGCTGGAGGAAACCAGACTCCTCTAACCCCAATTATATTTTTCCTCCAACCCTTCTCGGATTTGATTTTATCTGTGCAGATGGACCTCTTCTCAATGGGGAAAAAGTGGTAAAACGGTTCATTAGTTCTGATTTTGCTAACCTTGTAACAGAGGAGAAGATCTATGAGGTCCAGATCTAGACCTCTGTCACGGATCAGAAGTAGAATAACAGACAAAATCCTAAGGAAATTTAGGTTTACTTGCAAAAGGGAAAGTTTCAATTTGTTGAAAACGTAGCAAAAGAAGGGATGCAAAGGGAACCTAAGGAGGTTAAGATGAATGTGTGAAAACAGAACCTCGCCAGGAAGAAGGCGAGCACCGGTTCTAATATTCACCTCTCTAGGGCAATTTCTAATTTGTATATCGTCAAGGAGGTAAAGTTTCATGCGAATAACATCTAGATCTACAGTCATGGTGAGAATGAATGAAGATTTTGAGGAAGAGAAAGAGGTCTTCCGAAAGAAAAATGCAAATGAAATTAACCTCAGAAAGTGAGAACGGCAAAGAGTACTGCAAGGTCGCAAGAAGGAGGATCTTTTGCAAGAAATCGCTGGAGAAGATTCGAACAACAGAAAGTGAGATAGAGACGGTAAAGAGAATCGATGGAACATCTATGAGGCTTATAAAGACAAGGTGGGCCTGAGGGCCGAGGAGTCAGGAAAGCGAGGAGTTTTTTTTAATCTCGAAACGCCGACCCCCAAATCTAACCGTCCATTCTCCCACGCGATCTTCTCGAGTCGTCAGGTTATGATTAGCAGCCTCTAATAATTACCCCCTAATCAATAGGGAGAAATTATGGGGGCAGTTGAGGATGCAATAAGTGGCATTGGCCGGTTATAGCTCGCTGGCATGGGATCGGGTCAAATAATTGAAGTATGGCCCATGCAAAAGTACCACGGAATGGGCCGAGCTTGGAGGATCCACTGAAGAAGATCAAGCCCATTGGAAAATCAGGCCCAAAAGGAAGAAAACCCTTGAATATGAGCCCTATGTAATCAGTTAGTTAGAATATTTGTAATGGTCTATAAATAGACCATTACGGGTGGATAAGAGAGGGGTATTTGGGAGGAGGTGAATTTTCTATTGAAGTGTAAGAATTCTAGAGAGAGAAAGGAGAATGAATTTCTTGCATCTTCACACAAGTATCTACAACATTCTAGAACTCTCCATACTACTCTACACAATTCTGGAGAACTCTAGAATATACTACACACATCTAGAATCTTCCACACAACACTAGACTACTCCGAAAGGCTCTAGAAACTCCACTTGTCATGCAGTTGTCATGCAGCGTCCTACTCAGCGTCTGCGTGTCGCCTGCGTGGCACAACCTCCATAGGCGGGGTGTGACATGAAGGTGACAAATGGCAAGGTAGTGGTTTGGTCTCGATGATTGCTGTAGTTGGCATGTGAAGCCCTTTTCGGTTGTGTTTTAATTAAAAACTAAGAATATGCTTGATTTTTTTAATCAAAAAAAACCTTCACAATAGTTTTAATAAAATTGTTGCGATTTAATTGCATACTTTCCGAAAATAATATTACAGTATGATGAGTATATAAGAGTATAGTTAAATTGATACTTAATTTAATGAAAAAATGTCACATACTCCACCTAGTAATGACAAATTGGGTTGATTTGAAGGATTTGCGAAGTGATCACCATTAGACGGTGTACAGCGAACCAAGCTCCCTACCGAATCTCTATTACACTATACCGAATCTCTATTATACTATACTACACGCAACACAACACAGCACAGTCTTACTCCAACGTCATCTCAGATTGATCAACCGTTTCTTATTCCAAAAAATCGACCTCACATTCACGCTACGATACAACACAACAGAATGGCCACCACTCTCTCGGTCCGGCCCAACCGTGCCTTCATCGGCTTTAACCCATCCCGGTCTCGACCGGCGGCGGCGACGGCGGCGGCTCGCCGGCCGGACCAGGCTGCAGCTCAGATTGGGAAGGCAGTGAAGAACGATCGTGGGTGTGGGTGGGGCGTGGTGTTTGCCCCTTCCAGGACCACATTATCCAGAGTCCTCGCCGGCGGCTCCAGAGCCGACGACTCTGCTCCGTTCGAGATGACCATAGAGAACGCTCTCAAGCTCTTGGGTGTCTCCGAGGAGGCTTCCTTTGATGATATTCTTCGTGCCAAGAATTCGATTGTTGCGACCTGTAAGGACGACCAAGATGCTATAGCACAGGTTCTAATTTCCTTTACTTTGCAATCATTACCTTGTGTTCGTTTTGGTGAAATTCGGATGATTTTGAGACCTGGGTGTATTGAATTGTGTTCTTTTATATATGCGTGTATATTGGGTAACTATTTATGTTTTCTAGATTGATACTTGTTAAATAACAAATTTTGCTTCTGGGATTTGCACGGACACTTGGACGTGAATATAATTTGTTGAAATACAGACGTTTTGGGGGCATTCAATTGGGTTCCTGTTTTCAATTTCTACACTTGTTTGTGTAAGTTTGATGTTGGTCATAGAAAATGTGAATTGTTGTTTACAGGTCTACTTTTTTGGGGTGTTTGTTAGAATTAATGTTTCTTCAAGTTATGACGCACAACCTTTGCAAGAACTGTGTTCCACAGACATGTCCATGGAGTTTTGAAAAATCCAAACATCTCAAAGATAGATAGAGTGGTAGGAATTTATAGAACTAACCGCGCTTCTTTTATACGGTCAGGAGTCCTTTTTAGATTGAGCGAGAGTTACATCATTCTCACTCTTCCCAGCTTGTAGTTGGGCTATATATGTTGTCAAGGCCTCTGGAAGAATAGGAAAGTGGTCACTGGTAGCCATATTAAAACTGAAATTTGATCCTGGATTCCTATCTTATTGGAGATGCAACAGTGTTTAAGCACACACACTGACTGAAGCTGAGTTCTCTTAGTGCGTGATGGTGGCTTTATTCGAATTGCAACTGTGTCAAGAAACTCACTCATTACTGAAATGTTTTTAATGATGAAGCTCTAGAAATTCTAAGAATATAAAGTGAAAAGAAAGAAGTTGCCTTGAAAGTACTGCCTGACCTTTCACCAAAGAAAAAAGGTGATTTATTTGTGTCACTATACCTACTTGTTAGTTTTGTTCAGCATACTTTATGAGTGGGTGTCGGACATGTTCCTTACCTTATACTTCATTTATTAGCATCTTGTGATGCATGAACATGACATGGCGAGGAGGCACTGTCACTATGAACTCGTAAAAGATAGCATGCCGACAAACCATATACATATGTATATCTGTAAACACAGCATGCCAACAAACCAAATGCATATGTATATTTGTTAAGATAGCATGCTGACAAACCAAATATATATGTATATTTTGTTGGATTTTAAGAAAAAAATCGAATAACATCAAACAAGCAAAATCTACATAATGAATTCTAATAATAATGCTACCCTTTTATGTATTCATTGTTCTGTGATGCCTCTTTATTTATTTCTTTATTTGGGAGCATTTGACGTTTGCGAATGGTTATGCAGTAAGCCAGTAACTGTGTTATTTTCCTCTTAATCAGCTTTTCTTCAACTTGTGTAGGCATAGTAGCTTCCGCACAATAGGCAAGCAAGCTCAAAACTCTGTGGAGGCAATTTGCATTTGTTGCATGATAGTTTGTGATTAAATATCAATATATAAAAGGAAAAAATTCAGTATAATGATACGATTACTAGCATATGGGAATTACAGGAAAAGTAGTGCTTTAGGATTTGATCCTTGTTAGGAAAAAATATCTATATTGTCATGTGTTGGCATATTTTATGAGCAAAAGTTGTGCCGTGATGTCGATGTGCTGTCACTTCAGTGGAAGGTTCACATTGACATTGAACCTGTAACGTTACTTTAAAAAAAAAAAAAAAAAAAACCAAATAAATTGAAGTCTGAGCCAGAAGAATGCATCAACATCTTATTTCAAGCTTCATCAATCACACAATATAAAGAAGGCAAGTGACCTAATAGACCATACATAGGTTCCGCCTTCTAATTATTTATTGAGAATTTTCAGTTATTGGCAACTGCATAAGGCAAACGTTTTAGAAGTAAAAAGGGCTTCAGAGCATGAGTCGTGTGCCTAATGACTGCCTTAAATATTAAGTCAAACATTCTCACAGATGGGCTTTTAGAGGTTGAGGTTATAAGGGCAGGATGATGAGGAATTTTTCTTTTTTTTTTTCTTTTTTTTTTTTTTTTTTTTTCTGGTGTTACAGCTTATTCAGAAGTGTTTTTGAAGAGGAGTGATCAGTAGAAGATGTGGTGTCTGACAACGTTAAGATGGTGGCCTTTTAATGTTCTTCCTCATTGATTTCCTAGGAATTCATATGCAGGTTTCCTCACATATTGGTCATGATTGTGCTGCCCTTGATGCTTTCTGTGTTGTTTATATTTTGTTTTTCCCTGTTCCAAAAGTCCCCAGCATTGTATCTTCCTCTGGGTCGTTATCGGCAGTATTATGCAAAGATCAAATTGCCAATGAAGTTTATTCATTTTTTTTTTTTAAGAAAAAAAAAAAAATTTATTTTACAAACTATAATTTTAAAAGGAGTTTGGAGAATGTTATCTTGGTTAATGTGCAAGGCACACATACTCAGGCAATACAAGAGCCTTGAGGCATGAGGTGTGCCTGAGGAGGACTTTCATACTCAGGCAATTAGACTTGCTGAGCCTTGGTTATTTGAGCTTTTGGAGCATGCTGTGGATTGTAAACCCTCATGGTCTTTTGCAGCTACAAGTAGATCTATAAGATAATTTTACCTTCCGAGATGTTATTTAAAATTATTTTCCATTTTCTTACCCCTCTTGTTGTTGCTGCTTTATTTCATAGTGGTTTATCTCCGAAGGTTTAATTGTATTAATTCCATCAAAAAGGTAAAATCACTAGATTATGAATACTTTTCTTATATCTACCATTGTTGAGATAATTGTCTAAAGGAAAAGCAAGTGTTGTCTGAAAAACCCAAGAACTCAGTTATTTGAGGCTAAGGATGATTGATTTGATGTCAGCCTTTCTTTGGTAAAATCACTTTTTTTCTAGATTGGTTATAGCATAGACAAAAAAATAAGGAAAACACAAGCCTTTTTCTGGACCAACTCAATGTTGGTTCTCCTGTGAACTAGCTGTTGAAATGAGGCAGGAATAAACTTGAACCACTCTTTGAGATTCACAAAACGCCCCGAAGGTACCAATATAGAAAAGACTAGTCAAAGCTATTCAGTTTCCTACTGGTTTATATGGCATATGTATCGGGGGTTGTGTCCCTATTTAACTATGTTCAACAATCCACCTGATTGGACAAGACTGTTTATAAGATTGTAATGTTAAGACTCTGTCTCTCTCTCTCTCTCTCTCTCACGTGTATGTGCGCTCATGTCAGTGCACATGTTTGTGTGTCCAAATCCTTTATAGTGGCATTGGGACGTTCGAATGGATGGCAGTCCTAGATTTAAATGTTTCTGTGTTGAAGTAACCAAATGCAGGATCTGCCTCCAGCAGATGAATCATAATTGTCACCATATCAATCATGATCTATTACAGTATCTCTGGGTCTAACATGTATAGATATGGAGACTTGTGCTGCCTTGTCGTTACTTCCAAGGAGTAATATGGTCATATTTTTTCCAGGTAGAGGCTGCATATGATATGTTGCTTATGCAAAGTTTAACAAGGCGTCGAGCTGGAAAAGTTGTAAATAGTAACATTCGCTTTGCTGATGTTAAACCTGTAAGTGCTTCTGGAATGGGATCGATGCCTCAATGGCTTCAGGCTACAGTTAAGAGTTCACCCATTTCAGTTGAAACACCATCTACCCGTGACTTGGGCATACAAGCAGGTGTATATGGAACTTTAATGGTCTTAACTTATGTCAATGGAGCATCATCGCCTTCTGCAGGACCATATGCTGGGCCAGATGTTCCTGGGCTGATCTTAGCCACTAGTTTTGGAGCATCTTTATATTTAATGACCAAGAAAAATGTTAAGTTAGGTAAGTAGCCTTTTCATTGTGGTAGCTTTCCATTTTGTGGGTTTACTGAATTACTGGAACTTAGAGGAGACATTCATCTTCAATTTTCTTGCAGTTTCTTGGTTCCTTTCTTTATTCTTTTTGTTTCTCTGGGTTTGTGTTTTGTAAAGTCTAAGAAACTCAATTTTATTCTTTACATTGTTATTTCACATGCTAACTACAGAATCACTAGGATAATTTATTCAACATTCATTTTTCATTATGTGGATTCTTTTTGTTTACTGCCAAAACATTAGATTCTTACCCAAATTATACCTCTCCTACATTTTTGTTTGATAACAGTACTTGTTATTCTGTACTTATAAATAATGTCTAATTCACTAACAAGATTTTTTTTTTTTTTTTTTTGGTTAAAACACTACACACAAGATGACAAAGAATGCCTTTAACATACTGTTTGAACATCCACTTCTGAGATTGTGATAAAATTGATGTTATTTTTCAATCAGAATAAGCATTTCCAGGTCAAATTATTGGGGGGATGTGGATAATGTTTTTTTTGTCTATCAAATTAAGTGTGCAGGAGTAGCAACTGATTAAGTTGTGTCAATGTTAATCGACTCCTACTTCGGCTTAGCGAATCTATTGGAATGTGATTAGCATTTTATTTTTTTTCAGGGAAAGCAACTGTGATAACCATAGGAGGGCTTGTGGCTGGTGCGGTGGTGGGGTCAGTGGTTGAAAACTGGTTGCAGGTAGACATTGTCCCATTTCTTGGCATACACTCCCCTGCTGTTTTAGTGAGTGAATTTATACTCTTCTCTCAATTGTTGGTCTCTCTTTACCTAAGATAGATTAAAAGAAAGTTCTGATAATGAAGTGAATTGTAAGACCTGTGATTATTCTTTAGGGCAAATTTACTTTTCTTCATTAGGAAGCCTTTCATCTCATATTGTACAAATGGTTGTTGTAGAACATAAATCAATTGACCCATTTGCATTTATATGTATAAATTTTGTATTTCTATTGATGGTACCATATTTCCTTTCTTCTCATCGATGTTTTATAAGTTTGACCAATTTAATTAACAAAATTTTCAATTTTCTAGAGGAATGGTTGAGATATTATATTTTTCTGATATTATTTGCTTTGTGGTTAAAATCTGACTAGCACGAGATGATAACTATCTGGTTCTCTCTCTCTCTCCCTCTCTACTGTTCTGAGCTTACTTTTTGTAAGCTTGATTGTTAAAAATTTGAGTACCAAGAATGTTATCCTATGCCTTTCTTGGGTTTGTTATTGTGTTGCTCAAAAAACATTACTGTTTGATAGAGTTTGAATTCAGTAATCATCATGTAGTAGGTATAATAGGTTGTATTGATTCAGTATATTGTACGATGGAAAGGATTTGGTGATCCCAAGAAACTACATTGTTAGAGCATAATTTTTTGTTTTGTTTTGTTTTTTGTTTTTTTTTTGGGGGAATGGTAAAGCAATTCACTCACACACTGTGTCCACTGAAATTTGAAACCATGACCTCCTTTGGGAAGTATAGGTCAAGTACCGCTGGGTAGGGGTGCACACAGTCCGGTTCGATAAGGTTCCTAGAAATTGAAATTGGAACCGAAACGGTTGGGATATGGAGCCGAACCAGTTTCACAGTTCCGGTTCCTTTTTGTTTTTTTTAAGCAATATCTTGACCATGCTAAGATATTCCAAATGATTGAACCAGACAGAACAACCACGGCCATTATGCAAAAACAAAAATAATACAACCCATACAATCATATATAAATAGATACATAAGTGCCATACGATCCTGCCATTGTATCATTCACATGTCACATGCAAGTTTTTAACAAAACAGACGCTATTATAACTTGAGAGAACTAAAATACCAAGTCTTGTGGTTTCTGTAACCCTTTTACACAAAAGACCAGCTAATGAACAGGAGAGCTAGGCAGTGACTAGAATCGTCGTTGTTGAGGACTTTCTATACGATGGCTTGCTTGTAAGACACCGGCCTACCCATTTGTAGTGCATTTTGATAAATAATATAGTACATGAGAATATAAATTTATTATATATATTTCTGTATTACGATTTAATTTTTAGATTACTGTAACATATAATCAGAGTATTTTGAAAAATTTACAGCCAAACAAACATCAATAGACATATATATTAGTAATTATATAATTAAAAAAATAATGTATACAACCAAAGCACCAGTTCCGGTTCCACCGGTTCTTTGTGCACCCCTACTGCAGAGTGGAGTTGCTAACAACAATCTTCCATCATCATTGTAAATTTTTACAGCAGCAATAAATGAAAAGGAAACAAAATAAGGAAAATAGGTAGTTGCATACTCAAAGAAAAGAAAGAGTATGGCATTTTAATTGTTTCAGCTTCAACCATATTTGCGAACATGAAATGCAGCATGGGCATCATCACCCTTCTTCCTTATAATGCAGTCGCTCCCCAGTCATGCTTTATTTTAGCAATCATAATATTTTATGGTCATGCTTTATTTTAGCAATCATAATATTTTCCATAAAGAAAACTGCTTTTCGTCACTGGAAAGGTGTTGTAGCTATCAGAAAAAGACCATAAAATGTTGGTTTTCACTTACTTTTTTTCTCTTTTTTTCCCTTGGAAAAAATGGAATCTTTATAAAGAAAAGAACAAGATTGCAGGAGATTACATTCTGGATCAGGTAAATCCGCCAAAGAATTTCTCCCCACCAATTCAGAAAAAAGCCTCGATCTTGCTGTAATTCGGCTTCCTCCTCACTTCTCCCGCCGAGAATCTGAAACCATTGAAATCACCATCTTCAACCTGAGGGGGTAAAACAAGGTAAGTACGAGGATAATTGCTTAATGCAAAAGAAAATATAAAATGAGGCTTACATTATACACACCAGTGCGAAACCAGTAAAGGGAGAAGGAAAATAAATAAATAAATAAAAAAGAAAGGAGAAACTTCTTTTAAGCATCAAGGCAGGTTAAAGGGTAAAGCTGGTCCCATCTTCAAGAAGATATGATTCAAAGGTAGCTATTAAAATGACACGGTCAATTCTGTTCCATTCAACACCTGAAATAACTAACAGGATTGCCCACCTGAATCTCCCCCCATGTGTACAACCCCTCTTGGGACCCTTGCCAAGAAAGGTAGGAATTCAGGAAATTTACAGGTCTTGCAACAAAATTGTGGTCAACCATTACATGTATATAATAAACAACTTGCCAGTCGATTGGAAATCTAACTACAAAATACAGATAAATTTGTCTCAGCGAGCTGCTTTGACATAATCTAATGTAGAATCACGGAAAAATCCTCAAACCCTAAGACCCTAATGGCGTTAACAAGTTTCCTATGTCATCTGGTGCCATCTTCAATTTGGGAGCCCTCTATATATCCCGGTTTCCCAACTTTATCAGCATTATTACTGTAACTGACAAGGTCATTGAACATTTTTAGAGAAGCCTTAGAGAAGTCGGTCAAGGACTCGAAAACTCCACAAAATCCGGTCTGGAATCCATTCAATGTGATCCTTTGAGTTTCTTGCATGCAGTTGTGGTGTTTTTCCTTCTCTAAATCTACTTTCATTCTAAAAATGTCCAATAAATCCTTCTTCGCGCTCAAGTTCTCAGCCCGATGTTCCATGTCTGGCTCTGAATTCTGGACCAAAAGCTTGGACTCCGAAATCCTGTTCTCTGCCTTCTGGAATGCAAGAATCTTTCTGTCAAATTCTTTTGCCAATCTGTCTACTTTTCTCTTCTGTTGCTGTTCTTTTTCTTGCTGAACAGCCAAAGCCCTTACATCCTTTCCAAAGCTTTTCATTGAAAAGCCAACCGCTTTATCTGGGAGCCTATCCATGAAAGATAACCAATCATGGCAAATCATAAGTAATGGGGGTCCATTGACATGACATGGTGGAGCCTTACTCCTTCCATTAGAGTAGAATTCAGTTTCAGGGACAATGAACTTGGATAGCCATCCATCGAGAGCTTCAATGTATGCCTTTTGTGCTGCAATGTACTCTATGAAGCATGTTCTCCAATTCTGAATCTCAGCCTCAAGCTGAAGAGTGGCGAGCCGGTGAGAGTTGTTGCAAAATTTTCCATAACTGGGACTGGTATAACATTTCACTTCAAACATTATCTTGTTCTGAATTTCATGAGATTCCATCATAATCTTCCAGGTTCTTACCAAGCTGCACAGAAAAGCGGAAAGTGAAGGCAGGGAAGACGAGCAACTACACTTAAAAAAATCTATACGTTTGTTTGTGATATTTCCTTACCCTTGTAGTAGTTCAAAAATCTGGGGCTGCAACTCTTCGTCTCTCAGTTTCTCAATTCTTTTTGAGATTGATTCGGCACTTCGAATAGCAACTATTATCCTGCTATATAAATCTTTTACAGCAGCCCTGGTTTTGTCCACAGCAAGTCCTTCTTCCCCTTTGACATCCTGATTTCTCAGTTGATTGCACTTCCTCTCATAAATTTTCCGAGTGCTATCTCCAGCCTAAGGAACAAATAAGTCTCCAAGTGAAATACTAAAAGCAAATAAGTAAAAAGAATATCAAAGGAAAAAGGTAGGTTCATGGGGTTCTAGTTATTCTCTGAGCCTCACATAAAACAGCAAGGTGAGCATAGTAAACAATTTCGGTTGGTGACAAAAAAGTATGCCTAGTTTTAACTTTTAAATAACACTGGTGAGAAATGTAATTTCTTTCCTGCCATTGGCAGTTGCAAGAGCCTTCAATACCATCTAACTCATTTAGACATTACCCACCAAAAAATCTCGTGTAGACTTCCATCTTCATTTGCCTTCATACTTGCAGATCAATGTTTTTGTTATTTCTGAGAAATGAAATGAATAGAGTTCTTACCTGAGTCACGACACAAACTGAGTTTTCTCAACACATGATACCTTTTTCAGTGTTGATCAAATTTACTAATAAAAATGTAATTTCGAATATCATATTCTATCCTTTGCATGGCCAAATTGGCACAGTAAATTGAGCCACCGAAACAGAAACCTGGCGGTGAAATTGTGTAAATATTCTTCCCAGAAGCAATGAATATAGCTAGAATATTCATTTTTAGGAGGCAGTCTATATTATTTCCCTGACGGAATTGCATAACAAGATACTAATGAAGAATTTAGCCAAAAACTGTACATAAAGCATTTTCTTGATACAGGAATTTCAGAACTATTCTCTATACAACCTAAAGCTCATGATTGATGAGATGCACTTCACTCTGAGAAGTTATTATGCCCTAAAAATCTAAACCTATATCAACAAAATCGATAGTATCAGTTGTCATGAAAGTCCAGCAACTCGAACCTATTTGGTCGGTGATATGTTTTCTGCTGCATGACTCCAGCAGCTATAGGCCATCTCTTAAGTGGGTAGTAAATATTTTGTCATCTGTTTGCACTTAATTGCTTGAATTGATTCGCAATTCCATGATCCAATGTGAACTTTTTGCACAAGAACTATTCGTTATGTTCTTTACTTCAGTTAGGCATATAATTATACTTGAGAAGGCTAGGCTTGTTGATACAATTGCATTTTCCTGTCAGCGTCGCATGATAGAAATTTCAGAGGCACAATCAAAATAGCAGACTGTAAGCAGTTGGATTTCTTCATATATAAATCTCTACTAAATGTGCCAAAGTTTATTATCATAAGCACGTGTTATGCAACAGAGGTAGAAGGAAATAACATGCATAAGCAATGTTTCACTTCCTGTGCTCGTCTAGTTGCGATCTCAACACAAAATATTGCAGGTAGTAACTAGTAGGATAAAGTCATGAAGATAGGGGTAGGTAACACACTTTGGGGTGATAATAATTTACCTTAACCTCTTCATAAAGCTTCTTTTCCCAAGCATAGAGCCTTCCTAGTGTCAGTGAGTGGCTTCCTGAATCCATTCCTCCATAATCATCAAAGAGATCATTCGTAAACTCTGTCCATGTTGCTGAGCTTTTGGAACTAGATACTACAAGACTCTTACAGGATGAAGACCGAGAGGAAGTGGACCGCGATGTGATAGCTTGGATGAGTTTTGTAGAATTCTCTGCATCCAAATGAAATGGGTGAAGGAACATGTCTGGTGGAAACTGATGGGCAAAAAGGCAATTACGAGTAGAGAAGTTTTTGAGTTAAAATGTATGAAAAGCACAAAAATGAATGTTGAAGAGATTCACAGGAGTCGTTATGCATGAAAAGCACAAAAATAAATGTTGAAGAGACTCATAGACCAATCTATCAATACAATCATCAGGCAGAAGCTAATTTTAAACCCACACAAAGGTAGATGGTTTAGCTTCACATAAATGTTTCATCTTTTCGAACGGAAAAGGATAATGACGAAGCCACTATAAGTCTATATCGAATCTCGTGAAATGATTTGAGAAAAAGACACAGGTCATAATAAATCCAAAGCAACAATAAGTAACATAGTCTGCAAGCTAATTTTCTCACCATGTTTGTTTTCGCCGAAGTCAAAGAACGTGGAAGAGAACAGTAATCCAACATCCAAAGTAATTTAAGACAGCAACTAGACAAAAGTAAATTTGTTTGTCTGCATTATTACATGCAAACACTGACAAAATTAAGCAAAAGAAGAGCTTATGAGAACCATAAAAAACAACCATTTCAGATCTTTCTAAAAGATAAAGAGGAAAGAAGACAAGTAGTGAAAGAACTAAAAAGCAGAACCAAAAGCTAAAGGAAAGCAAATAAAAATGGTCAGAGATTTGTTTCAAGAATGTGATGAAGTAACAATCTGGGAGCTCAGTTCACATAATTTCTAAGAACCCACAAAGAAAAAAGGCAGAGAAAAAGCTTCATGCTAGAATTAATAAAAATAAAAATAAAAATCTCATCTTTTTAAAATCAAGGTAAGGCCCCTAAATATTATGGTTATCAAAATATATATATGTATAAATAAAAATAAAAAAAATAAAAGTAAATGAAATTACAGTAATGGAACAACTGAAAGGACAAACCAATACCTAATAGCAAAAAGGGGGGGAAATTATTGAGCTATTAGACACAGTATTGCAACTAAAATAAACTCATGCAGAGGAAAAAAGTTTTAAGATTTAGGATAATATAGGGAAATAAGACACCACCTTATATAATTGGGTCAAACTAAGAGCAAAGCAGAGCAAGCATGTGAAAATAATAATACTAAAAATGTTAAATGCTTGGGATATGGTAAATAGAGATGTCCTGATTTTACAGATAGCAGATTAAGTTAGAATTGAGTGGTAATTGAAGATCTATTCAAAGAGAGAAAATGATTTGTAACAAAAGCCATCAAAAGTGAAAATGAGAAATAAATAAATACCCACCTTTTATTTCCTCCAGACCAGATTGCAAATGAGCCCTATTAGCCTCCAACATTCTGGACACATCTTTGCCGGAATCATAAGCCCTAATGAAATGGTCCTCAATATCCCTCAATGCTTCCAACAACTCCCTCCCTCTCACTGGTGTATCAATGACTGTTAAACCCTTCTGGTCTCCCTGGCTCACATTGGCACCATCCACTACACTCACAACTTCAACCCCACTCTCCTCTACATTCTCACTTTCATCAGCCACCACCACCGTATTTTCTTCCTCCATTCTATCCCCTTCCTCTTCCAAATCTGGAATTCCTTCCTCTTCCCTTACCGCCCTCAAATCCTCCTCAGAAATGCGATTATAGCCGCTTATTATCTCCGGTCTCATGCCGTCGAATGGATTAAAGAAATCCCACCCAATATCTCTCTGTGGTAGTGGCACTTGTTGAGGCATTTCCATATAAAAATACCCACAAGGTTGTTCTTCATTTTTCTCTAATTTTTCATCTCTTTGTTCCTCGGAGGAGTCTGAAGATGTGGAAGAATCGCATGATTCACAACCAATGGCTTCTTGGGTTGGCTCAGATTCTGTTTGTTGAAGGAATAATGGGTTGGATACCTCATTTTCTCTGGGCGGAGATGGTTGACAAGGTGGTGGGAAGGTGATGAGAAATGGTGAGGAAGGTGAAGAATGGCGAGCAACAAATAGCCTTATAGCAGCTGATACACCAAAGAGCGCTTGACAATACCTACAGTGTGCATCTGCAAGAGCATACCTTCTCTCTACAGCCAACTTTAGCTGGTGTTTTCTCTCTCTACATATGGACACTACTTCCTCTTCTTCCTCTAACTTGGAGGCAACACACCCCATACTGTTCTCTCTCCCTAAAGTTAGAGAAATAGGTCTGCCTTTTAAAGACAGGTTCAATAGAAGACTGAAAAGGTAGTATTTTTTTGGAGGAATGTGGGCATTTTTTCCCCCTGATACAAAAAAAGTGGGGTAGTGCCAAAATGAGGGTTTTGATTGATATTTTAGAGAAAATGAGGGGAAAATGTAGCTAATCTAAAGAAGTTCTAAACCAACCCATCACTGATTCTGATATCTAAAGTGGGTTCCTGCTAAAAATGTAGGTCTTGGGCAAAGCTTCAAAGCAACCCAGTTGGCCATTTCATCGCCTGAGAAGTAAAGATGGCTTATTGTCAAAAATGGAGGTGGACAGACACATACACGCGCGCGCGCGCACACAGAAAAAAAGAGTAAAGTTGAGTTTCTGCTGAAAATGGAGATGGTTGGTCACACAAGAGAGAGAAACTGAGAAAGAAGACAGTAAAAGACCTGTATTTCTGCAACAGATGAGGTTTTCTTTTCTTCTTTTTCCTTTATTTTGCAAAACAATACCCTCCTAAACAGAGGATTTAATGGTGATTAAACTCTGTGTGTGTGTGTGTGTGTGTGTGTGTGAGAGAGAGAGAGAGAGAGAGAGAGAGAGGCAGAATCAAAGGGAAGTGAGAAGAGAAAGTAGGGGCTCGAGGAAGAGATGATGGTGTCCTCGTGTTTGGCAAGTTGATGCTGTATGGACTACTACTAATAACTTGGCGTTCAGCTTGAGCAATTCATTTCTATAGAGTTACTGCCAATTTAGCAGAGATTTTAAAGGCAGATAAATACACTGACTATTGATAGAAAAGAGGAGTCAAACATTAATAAATTACTGGTAAAAGTGTAGTCCATGATATATAGTAGTACTCCATATAATAGTGTCACACACACACACACACATATATATAGATATAATGATATATAGATTACAGAGAGAGGTTCTGTGCTTGTTCTTTTGTTTGTCACTATTGTAACAGCTAATTTATTGTCATTAGGAGAATATCATAACTAAATCATCATAATTATACTTGCCCAAAAAAAAGAATGTTTTAATTTTTTTTTATATATATTCAGTGTCTTCAGTCCTCCTTGTTTTTGTTTGTCACTGTTCTAACAGCTAAACTTGGTATCATAGTTCAAATAATATATAGTATTTGTCTAGGATATTAAAGTGGAATAAGGAAATGAAATGTCACAACTGTCATGGTCCTTTATGACAATGAAATGAAATGTCATAAATGTCCTTGTCCATAATGTTAAAAACAACCCTATCCTTGTGAAGAAGGTGCCTATTTAGAAGGGAAATCATTAGATTTTGCAATTGTGCTTTTGGACTTGGTGGTGTGCGTGAGGTGACGAATTATAGAAGGGAAATTATAGATTCTTTCCCATCAATCCCCTGTGGTACCGTTTTGTACTTCACTGGTGTCACTTAAATTGCATTGCTACAAACATTACATTCAGTTGGTTTACTGGATTTCACGAATCTATCTAAACCTCCCTCATTTGATGAACTACCACAGAGAGTTATGAATTCGATTTCGATTCACGGGCACCATGTCAGACTAATTTGGTGTTTGATAAAGGTTTAAATTGACTGTTATTTCAAAGCTATCCAGGAAAGCGCTTAAAATAATTTATTAAAAATTAATGAATAAAATATTTTTATCAAATTTTAATATTTATTTTCTTCATAAAATACAAGTAAACACCAAAAATTTAAAATATCTTTTACTTCCAAACAAATGGAACCTAAATAAATTTTTTTTTTCAATTAATGGTGCAACAAGACAACAAGTTTATAAATAGAAATATACTAACAATGCAATATTTTCTACTAAAAACAAAAAATTGGAAACATAAAATTTTGACATTGAGTTCGTTTGGCATGAGTATGCCGTTATGTTTTTTTTATCAATACAAAAACAATCGTTTTGTTATAGGAGTATTTTGTGTAAAAATCAAAACCTGGTAATGAAAATTTGTTTTAGGAAATTTAAAAATTTATTTTAGTTCCTCCACTATAGTATCAAAACACACAATGTCATCAATTTGGTGATATAGGTTTAGGTCAAAAAATTTGATATGTTATGAACTATTACAAACCAATATCAGTCATTCCAAACATGATATAGACCCAAATTTGAAGACCAATATTAAAAAAAATAATATCATAACACATTCCATACAGACCCTATGAGTCCTTTTGAAAACAAGTTATATTTTGCATTTTAGATTTTAGGGTGAATTTTATTTACCTCCTTTGAAGTTTGTCAATATTTTACATAGACCCTTCTACGTTTTACAATCTTACTTACCTCCTCTAAAGTTTTAGTTTATATAACCGATTTCCCCTCGCATGACCATTTTGCCCTTTGAAATGACAGACTCAAGTAATGATAAGTGAAATTTACTCTAGATTTGATATGAAACAAAAACAATAATTTTTTATCAATGATTTATTCCAAAAATTTGTTGCGCACAATTTCATACAAAAAAAAGTGTTTAATTACTTTAAAAAATAGTATTTACACTATTTTTGTTTTTTTTTTAAAAAAAAAAAAAAGAAACAAATCTCATTACAGTTGTTTAGTTCTAATAACATAAGCAAGTAAAGAAAAAGGGAAAACATAGAAGAATTAAAAATTAATAAATAATGGAAAAGATGAGAGAACTTTGAAGGGAAAAAATAATAATTTGAATAAAGATAATGTAAATTTTTTGAAGAGAATAAATAATAAAAATAAAAAGAAGAAGAGTGAGAGTGAGAGTGAGAGTAAGAATTAAAGAAGAAGATAGCTGATGATGATTACTTCAATGGATGAGGTTGAATGGAGAATGAGGATGAGATATTATAGTAGTGCTTGTTGTAAAGTAGAGCATTTGGTTCATAACGATAACATTAAAACTTATTTATTTATTTATTGTCAAGAGTATTTTTTGATTAATAATGAAATAATTTCATAAAACTTTGTGATGCAAAATGGAACATTTGCAAGATTGATATATACTACATAATACTTATATTTCTCTTGAAAAACAACATTAATCTAAATATTCTATCTCTATCACGGTAGGTTCTGTCAAAATTGATTATAAGATATCCTTTAATAACTATAATTTTTTTATTAGTTTTATTTTTTATTGCTATGTCAATCTTTTAGACCATCTCAGTTTCGATCACTAAATTCATGTAAAGAAAAAATAAAATAAAATAATTGTGAAAGTAGCCTCTAGAATTTCTTTGGGTTCCATATTTTAATATTAATCATCTGCACAGAGCCAGTCTATTTCAATTCCTAATAATGTTATTCATTTTTCTTCCATGTAGATGCAATAATATTGTTGTTGATATCACCCACAATTACCAAAAAAAAATATATATATATATATATATATATATATATATATATATATATTATATTGTTGTTGATATCTAATTCTAATTAATGATACACTAATTCTTTAAAAAACCCTTTTTTATGTTTTTTAATTACGGAGTAGTATTAATTTACTAGAATTGTAAACCAACCGAGTGGGCCTACAAGCTATGGAGAAGCACTTTCCTTTTTTAACCTTTTCCGTTCTTAAAAGTTAAAAGCCATAGTTGCCATCGAAAATGTAACCTTCGTTTCGTGTTTAGAGAAATTACAATTAATAAGAATTACTAAAAAAATGGAAAGCGAGCGAGAATATGCCTGACAGTCTGATGAGTGAGAGAGAAACAGTACCCTCTCTCTCTCTCTCTCTCTCTCACACACACACACACACACACTTACCTCGTAATCTACTTCCTTCCCTCTCTCACATATTGTCATTCGTTTAGTTCAAAAATAAAGTCAATCCTTTTGTACTCCTACAATTTTGAAATTACGATTCTGGACACGCTTAAAATTTACTCACAATTATATTTTAAATTAAACCTGACTCGTAAGTGGATACTAATATCGTCAACGTCCTTGTCTGTTCTAGTATGGATGAAATCGACCACTTGAATTATGTCGGCATATCACCTGCTACGTTTGGCACTCGAAACTCATGTCTTCCACAATAATTGTACATACAATTACTTTGCATTGCACTTCGTTCACATAGTCAAGACTCCAATATTTCCGGGACAGAGACCCATAATCAATTGTCTGCTATTTCATGAACCTGACATTTAATTCATCAAATAGCTCTGTTCCAAGTCCACAGATTGCGAAGAATAAGGAATTTAGATAGTCAAATGCTGGCGTATGAGATTTTTATCTCGACAGTGTCGGATACTGTATGCCCCAAATAACACCACCACGTTTTCATAGTTGATCAATCTATATTAGTGTCACATCCAAATACAAGGTCTCATACATACATATATATATGCATCACTAGGGTAAATGCAGCAACATCTTTGCCTTTTGATAAAAAATTAAATAAAAACAAACAAAACATCTTCGCACTTGTTTCGAGTTCCAGCTGAAATATTAAGTATCACAAACACCAAAACAAAACAAAACCAAACCAAACCAAACCAAAATGAGAAACAAAGGAAATATTGGAGACATTTCTCGAATCTAATTTTTGGTGGAATATCACACACTGCACAGGTTTTGAAAGGAGAAAAATCAATGCAATTCCAACAAACATACCTTCAACTTAACAAACATATGCACTTCAAAAAGTAGCAAAATGTAACAAGAAATTAAGTCCAAGACATGCAGGTGTAAACCAAGAACCTGAAACCAAACATGATCAAAAAGAAGTGTATGATGTGCATTACCGACCTCTGGTCCTTGAAAGTCTTCAGCTGTATATCTAGAATGTATCCCACATATCTAGACTGTATCCCACATATCGCCGAGGTAAACTACAAATTTAATTAGACAAATCTGGAATACTGCAAATTTAATTAGACATTTAATTAGACAAATCTGGAATACTGCAAATTTAATTAGACAAATCTGGAAAGCACTTCACCGCTAGTAAACCACCAGCAATCACTTGTTGCCCAGTAAACACAGAATTCCTTCCATGGCTATTCCATGTTTTGACAAACCTACTCCACGACATACTATTGGAAATTTTCATGTTAGAACCAGTCAAAAATAATCATAAGGACCAAACAAAGAGATTTTTAGATTACCAAATTGATTATTTACAAAAGCTGATACTACAAAAGAAAAGGCATAACAACAGGAAACAAAGAAATCAAAAGAATTAATTGCCCCAAGGGCATAACTATCATGATTGTTATCGTGAAGTTCTCTTTTCTTGGGCTTATAGACAAAAGCCAAGTGTTAGATCTCAGTTACAGGTTACAGTGTACATTAAAGAATTGAAGGGTGTTCTTAACTTTTAGAAGCTACCTGGTATTCACACAAGAGAATAGTACAACAGATAATAATAACATTAGAAAAATCTTCCTCAGGTAGTGCAAGGGGCAAGAGTGTTGTGAGGCAGGCTTACTCCGCCCCCTTTCACAGATAGGTTGGGACTCTTGACTGTGCTAGCCCTGCTCACCAGATTTGAGTCAAGAAAGACGGTAATCACAGTGATGTCATCATGGAAATGCCGACGGATCCCCCGGTCAATCTTCTTCAAGTCCGAATACCTCATTTCTCTCTTTTTTGCTGCTTCTTGCAGTGCAGCTTTCACTAATCTCCTAGCACTTCCCTGCATGAAGGAAAATCAAAGTACCACTTATTTATTTTTCCTTCCACTTTTATACGAACTGCAGTGCGCGCACAAATTTTTTAAATGGAGTTCGTCAATAGGATGACCAAAATATTCAGATTGCTCCTTAAATCACCAATTGCTAATCTTTGATGCACAATTGGATTACCTTATTCATGGCTGTGCCATGAATTTATGAAAACAAAATCATATTATCAATTAAAGGAGCAAGTAAAAGCTACCACTTGGGATAGTCAGCAAATCTAGAGGAGAAACAATAAATGAAAAAAGTTGTCCAAATGCCAAAAGCCATGGTTGGACTTTGAATATGCCATAGGGTCTTTCACTACCCTCAAAATGAGGAACAATAATGCTCCATTAACAATTTAACCCACCAAAAAGAAAACAACAATTTGACTTGAAAAAGCGAGAAAGGAGATTTGTTAGTTAAAACTAGGCCAAAATAAATCGGTGCCCCCTTTGGTGCATTATATAACCTAAGAAGATAATTTAAGTAAAAAAGTGTACAAATGTTTAATGTTAAAGTTTCTTACGTTGCGTGGATGATTTTGAACTATATCGACTGCTTCCTGGTTGCTAAGGTGCTCCCAAAGACCATCTGATGCAAATATAATAAATTGATCATGCGACTGGAGTTGGTGCACCGAAATTGATGGTTCAGCGCTCAATACTGGCCTTCTCAAAGGTTCGCGGAGGCGAAACTTGGCAAATAAAGGTTCTCTATTGAACTCAGCTTTTTTTAAATAAATATCACCAATAGATCTTGAAATCTGCAAGAAATAATAACATTCTGACCATCAGAGGACATGAAAAAGTCAAAACCCAAGATGATGCATCACGCCCAATAATGTCATACAAAGAATGACCCCTATGAAAATATTCTGTAAAGGTGAAAACCTTTAGCTAAAGAAAAGTTTAATACTCCTACTAGTTAAAATAAATGAATAAATAAATAAAAAGAAAAGTTCAACATACTGGCACCTTGATCTTGTTTTTAACTTGTAGATTTATAATAACAAATTAACTATCAATTTATTAGTGCAAATAATATTCCAAATAACTTTAATATCTGCAAAAATCGACGTGCCAATATGGAAGCACCGAAGAAGTTATGACCAAGACCAATTGTTAAGTTAATATACCGCATCATTTATTAGGATAACAGATTTTCCCATGATCCCAAAAAAAAAAAAAAAAAAAAAAAAAAAAATGTAATTCAAAGAAAATAATGATCTAGTTTATACAAGGTTAAGTGAAAGAGGGTAGGTGGGGTATCACAATAACCGTAGTGGCTATGCATCGATAATAGCAAGAGTATTAGATAGATAAGATCATAAGAGCAGGGCATCTTAATAGCTGCAAAGAATCTTTTGCCATAAAGTTCTTAACATCGAAGTTTTGACATGCAACCACTCAAACAGATCAATGTTTTGAGTCACAACCCAACAGTTGAAAAAGATACAAAAGGTAATGACCAGATGAGAAATTTAAGAAATATAGGAACACAGCCAACCAGAATAATCCAACATTAATGATAAGCAGGTACCCACCATTGTAATGACAAGTGAGCCCTGAGCCCCTGACTGAACCTTTGTCACATTGATGTCCTATGAAACCCATTAACTGAAAGCAAATGATATGCATTTCATATATCATTTTGAACAAACATGTAACAAGTAATACAGTGGCTTGGCTTAGAGTCTAAATGCCTCATGCAGAAATTTGCTGAAGTTCAGGATAGGACTTCAAGTCTTCCCCCTTCTTTTCTAGGACTTGGCACATATATCATACCATACCTTGAATTTCCCATACGAGCTCCTACACATAGATATTATGAATTCCCAAGAATCTCATACATCAGGATTATTTATTGTAACATTGTTTTCTAGCTCTTGCATCCACACCCCACATCCAGCTCCCAAAGTCCACTGTAACCACTTATGAGAGAGCCACTTATACATGGATATTATGAACTCCCAAGAATCTTATACATCAGGATTATTTAATGTCACATTATTTTCTAGCTCTTGCATCCACACCTCACATCCAGCTCCCAGAGTCCATTGTAACCTCTTTAATTCCTTCAAAGTTTTGCAACAATTCCATGATTTCATCTCAGCTTTATGTCTAGCACGATCTTGGATCCTAATTCAATGTTTTGCAACAATTCCATGATTTCACCTCAGCTTCATGTCTAGCGCGATTTTAGATCCCAATAGACGAGCAGAAGTGGCAAGAGATGTTGAGAAAACAGTCCAAATTTTCTCTCCTTTTTCTACTGGCATTCCTCCCTAAGTTTTAACTCTCTTACATAACTTAGGATGAAGTCCGTACATGATTCTCTTTACAGTGCCCTAGTATATTCTCCAGCACAATTGAGAACCTTAGAATACTGTATTTAAGTGAAGACTTAAATCAACACATTGACCGAAACAGATGTAAACATTTGTTGATGATACCAATATCTAGAGCAGAACTAAAAATTCCAGGAGAAGTTTTCCCCACACCTAAACAGTCACCTACGTTCAAGGGTTATTTATTTTCATAAAGTGTTTTCATGCTTTCACACCTGCATCCAGCCTCCACAATTCACCATAAGCACTTTTGATTTGTAAAGTCAGGTGATTTTAAAAACCGTGCTCTCTTTTTCTTCATTAACAGATCATGCATGATTTCATATCAGGTTCAGGTCTGGCACAGCCTTGGATCCTTATGTAAGAGCTTCTACCTTACATTCCTCGTCAACTGTCTTTGACATAATTTAGTTTGCATCTTATATATCTCTAAGGCTTTAGCTCAAGTGGTATCTCCTCCTCGCATATAGAAGGATGAGGATTGAAGTCCCCATTGGGGCATTAGTGGTTGGGTGCGGGAGTGAGTTGGGTGCCTGAGGATATGACAATAAATAAATAAAATAAACGATAAAAATGAATAGGTTCTTATATAAGACTTTCTTTACTGGAGCCATAGGAACATTTATCACGCAGTTTATCACCTCAGAATACTGCAATGAAGAATTAAATCCACACATTGACCAAAATTATTTTTATTTTTTCTTTTTGCTAAATGACCAAAAAACAAGAATGTATAGACCTAAACACATGGACACAATTTTTACTACAGCTAACCAGTCACCTATTACCTTGCCACGAGCAAAGGGCACAACAATGCACTACAAATAACATCCAATAAATGCATCCAACTAGTTCCCTAACAATTTAAGTTCTAAAATTGTAAATTTGTTAAATTATCAATAAAGTCCTCACGATAACGAAGGAGCATCATTCTTCACTATACATTATTATTTACTATGATTGCTGATAATATAAATATTAAGCTGCCCCTCTTTAATAGTTCGAGCTTTCTGAGCTGTTGGTCGATGATGTGATATCAGACGTAGGGCTCGAGCTCAAACCTACTAGATAATTATTAGACATGCCTGTTTTTACACACTTAAGAAAGGGACACTAGCTACACTTGAGGAGGTGTGATGATAATATAACTATTTAAATTACACCCTCTAGTGGTTTGAAGTTTTACAGAAGTCATTTGTTAACAAAGAGGAAACAAAATTTGAATCAGATGTATACCTCTATGATATTATGAGTTTCCAGGTTACAACTTAATATTTTAATACAATAGTGGTATGAGCAAAAGAACAAAAGGAATACTTGAGAATATGCTTCTCTAACAATCCTGATCATAAGTGGGAGAATCATGAAATCAAACCACAACATTAATAATTGACATGTTATACGTTTTGCAGTCTTACTCAACCTAACACGAAAGCCCGAGATTGGAATTACCCTGAAAACATAAATAAAACTACAATTTGGTCCAACTCCAAATAGTTCACGATCAGGAAAATTTTGTAGTGAAGTCCCACTATAAGGAAATTCCAACTCTTCTGGTATTTCTATTCTTATTTTTATTACCTTTTAATTTTTTTGCTGACCGGGCTATCCAAACCTTTAGCCCAACTATTCCCCAGAAAAGGGTAGGGTCTCAGCCCACTCCACATCAGTTGACATTTATCTCCCAGTCACTGATAAACAATTAATTTAAAAAATGCAATTGAAATGCCAACATACAGTAATACAGAAAATAGAAGCAACGAGATAATGTACAGTCTACAGATATAATAGCTGTTAAAATCTAAAATCAAATCATCCCTCAGCAAATAATGACTTACCTGTATAATGCCCTTCACACGCCAAACATTATGCTTTAAAACTACTATTTGTGAGTCATCTGGATGCAAAGCATGCAGCTCCTGTCTCACGGATTCTATAGCCACATTGTGCTCTGCTGAGAGCTGAATGGGCAGAACCTCCCCTGTTGCTTTGACAAGTCTCCCCAAAACAGCACGGGAATCACCAAGATTGGCAATGTAAAGGGTGCCATTGCAGATAACACCAACCAGGCAGCATGATCCAACCGCTGCAATCTGTGGTGACATTGGCCATTGTTGAGTAACAAGAGAGCTGAAACCCTCTTCTGTTGCTTGGAATGCCTTCCGTATTACCTCAACTGACATGGATTGTTGCTCGGAAGTAAATCCTGCACAATTAATAACATGTAATTGAATTCTAGCCACCAAAAAGCTGTAATTATAAGATATCTAATCCATATGAATCAGAATAGTTGGGTAACGATGAGGTTTTAAAGTTAAGAGCCTTAAATATCTTCTTGGCACTAGATAATATTGATAAACTAATAAAGGTAAGTATCTTAAATTTAAAATCTTAGATTATTCAAGATTTGGAATCAAAATACCTAAGAGAACTCGAATCAACTGGCTGAAAATACCTGTTTGGCTCAATTTAAAGTTTTTTCATTGAATGTAAGATGAAACAACATAAAACAAGTGACTTACTCTTGAGTTGATTCAAGAGTAAGTCATTTTTACCTACGGCTGAAGTGATGAAGGCTTTGTTGGGACAATGCTTTTTTGAGTTGATCTACTCTAAATGAATATATAGCCAATTCAAAAGTACCCTAGTTCCAAGTTCAAGTAACTTACTCTTGAGATGATGGAAGAGGTGAGCATTGATGTAACGTGAAGTCTCAGGGCCCCCATGCCCATCGTAAATCCCAACAAAGGTGCCATGCGGCCCAGAGTATTGTGTGCTCAAGCAGCCTGATTCAATTTGACTCTGATCCTCTAGCAAATTGTTAGCTTGAACTACAGCCATTGAAAACTCACCATTAAAGTGTTGTCCTGTATCTTTGTACCAAAGGAGCCCATCTTGACGACCACCAGTATCCGTCCCCCTGTGAACATGCCGATCCGAACTTGGTCGAAAACAGGCCCTCAAAAAGTTCATTAACGCAGAGAACATACCTCATTTCACCCAAACCACCCTCCAAATTTCCACATCTAATAATACCAAATAACTTTGACCCAAACAAACCTCAATTGGAAAGTGTTCCTTCCTCTACTCCACAAGAAAATACATATATATACTACGAGTCTACGACGACAACAGCAGCACTAACTAACAGAAAAACACATACACACACGAAACCGCACAAAATTATAATTTGTAACAATCACAACCTAACGGATCGTATAGAAAAATATACAAAATCAATCCACCCTATTTGGTCAAGTCAGCAGACAATAAAACTATAGGCTTTGTATGTGAAAACACATCTCTATATCTTCTTGAAACAGAAAATTGATGACGACAACAGCCGATAATAATGAAAAATCAACACTAGCGGAAAGTGGTCAAATTCACTTTTTCTCAGCAACTGTTTGGTCAGCAAACTCAAATCCAGAAGGTCCAACTCTGAATGTAGAAAAACAAAAACCTAATTCCTGAAATCCCAAAACTCAAAGTCACAATAATTCAATAAATTTTTCAAATTAAGCAGCACACCATACACGTACATGACTATATGCTAGGAAATGGTACAATCTTACCTTTGCAATTGAAGGGAGGGAAGATCTGAAAGTGAGACAGCTAGATCTTTGGATCCATCAAATCAGAGAATAATTGAACTGGGTTTTGATTGTTTTTGTTCTCTCTCTTCTCTGAGTATGGAGGTGATTGAAGAACGGAGTGGATGACAGAGAAAGTGAAAACAACTTGTCAATGAACAACAATTTGTTGATTGGGCCAACTGAAACTCTGGCCTCTCTCAGTCGACAAACCCCATTAAGAACACAGCAATGGAGAGCTTGAAGCCAGCAAAGCAAAGGACCAATTTGGGCTCCACAATCGCTTCGAGGGTAGAGAGAGAAACTTTAGAGAGAGAAAAAATGCACACACTCACAGCGGCATTAGAACGATATTAGAAAAAGAAGAGTCAATAAAGCTATCTGGATTATGATAGACTGTACGAACATTTTATGGAATTTCCGTGAGTCCGAATTCACGTGTGTACACGTGGAACAATAGGATAGAGATGGACCACCGTGTTTGGATAGAGGGAATGGGAGGATAGGAGGGAAATGAAGAGGGAGAGCTTCTCTTTTATTTTCGAATAAACGGATATAAGAGGTTTTTCTTTATATGTTTGATAATAGGATTTTTTATTTTTTTTAAAGAAAAATGATGGATAAATATTTATCGAATTTAATAAAAAAAATATTATTAACATTTTCAAGCCAAATGAAGATGATTCGTAAACTCACAAGCCAAAATTTGGACGTATTTGAGGTTAATCGATCTTGTATATGTAGTGCACTTCCACTTGACTTTCCTTTTGTCCATTTTAGAAAGCTTCAATATTGTAGTAAAATCTTGGTCCCTAGTGTTTTTGGTATTCTTTTATGAGATTTTTTTTTTTTTCATTTTTTTTTTTTTTTTTATCTATAGCCATATGTGTGTGTGTGTGTAGTAGTGCTACCTAGCCTACCTGGACTCCAATGTTAAAAGAATTATTTGATGTTTGACTATACAATGAAATAAGAGATAAACATGACCAATCAAAACTAATTAGTTAAGCAATTCACTTTAGCTCGTTGGCTAAAGCATTTTTTGTTTTTTTAAATAAAAACTTTATGCATTAATAAAAGTTTAAGTCATGATGTTGAGGATGTAAGTGTGAATTTTAGATCATTAGCTTGCACTTGCAATAAAAAATATATATATGTCACACGTCTCAAAGTAAAAAGTTACAACCTTAATTTTATTTTCAAAATTCTTATAATTAATTAATTTTTATGTATACTAAATTACATCATAATCATCATCACCATGCCTTAATCTCATATAGTCATATTTATACTAAATTAGACTATATCTTCTTTTCTTTTTCTTTTCTTTTTTCCTTTTTTTTTTTTTTGGTCTTCTCTCTTGTATTACACAAACATATATACATATATTGAAATAATATTTGTATGTCGGCAAATTAATCTCAATATTCCAAACTATGCATCCCATTAGCAGCCTACAGCATTTTAGGGCACAATCCCATCGATCATTCCATAGAATATCAAAATGAGTGATCACCACAAGGCCAAGGGTATCAATTATATATATCAAATATATGCAGTTGTTCATTGACATGTATCACTGAATCTAATGTGTACGTGCATAGTGCCACCATGAAATATGAATGGTCCTTTTCATCCATGCATTGGATATTGTTTGAAGATGATCAATTGATTTACCTACCTTATACTGTTTGTTTCCAAGGTGAGAGCGATGTTGGGTCTACTTCAAAAGTCATTTTCTCATCCTTAGTAAAAATAGTAAAATTGATCCACCAATTTTCATCTATCCAACAAAAATAAACAATTTTGAGGATCCAATCATTTTTTTAAATGAATTTTAATGTACTGGTAAATTGCTCTATTATAACTTAAAGAATCCGAGTTAAAAATGAAAAAATTTAAAGTAGAATACAAAATGGAGGTGGATAGATTGACACATGCCTATACACGTGCCTTCACCAGATTTGTAAGCTATGAAGCTTAAAAATAATAGGCCACGTAAGTAGATTAAGACTACATAATCAACTTTTGGCATATATTCCTACCATTTCCTTGTCATTTACACAAACACACACACACACCTAGCGTACCCTCCATTTTCTTCCCCACCTGCTTAATGACATTGATTGAGTGAATAACCCTAAAACAAGTCCACACGCAGGGGCGGAGTGAAGGGGGTCTGGCAGGGGCATGGCCCCCTCTAATTTTTTGGAATTTTTTTTTAGTATAGGTAAAATTATACTAAAAATAAAATAGTATAACATATATGATATAAAATCTATACTTGGCCCCCTTAAGAAAAAAAAATTATTTCTTTAATTAGCATTTAACAAAAGATAGTTTATATACAATCTAAAAGAACGTGAAATTTAATTGACAACTATATAATTTCTATAAAAATTTAATGGGGCAATCTTAAAATTTCAACTCAAACATCGTTCTTTCCATAATTTGACTATATATATATATATATATATATATATATATATATATATATATATATATATCGTTAGTTATTTATATAAGCCAACCACTGGATATATATGTATATGTCTATAATTAGTTGTATTAAGTTTTTACATACGTTGCTATCCGAGGATTCTACGCGTTCGTTGTTGTGAAGCGAAGAAAAGTCAGGCAAGTTAATTCTAACCGCTTTTATATATTTGTGCTAAGATCACTACTTATGATTTAATTATAGAATTCATGAATTTTGATTTGGTTAGAATGGTGGAGATTGCATATAGAAGCACTTGAGTTAATATAATGTTATAGATTTGTATGATGCTATGTTCTGTACTTCTGGATTATTCTTGTATAAGGATACTGTGGAGAATTACTGGTGATGTTTACAAGTCATTTTGGAATTTTGTCAATCTCCAATAGAATTAGCTTTGAGTTTATGACGCATCTTAAATTTGACATAGTTTATGCGTTATTATTCCTTTATTATCTCACAATGGTTATCCTAGTGATAAGCTTGGGTAGATTGTTTTGATTTATTAATTGTATTTATATAATCATGATTTAGAGAGACTGATATTATTGCAGGGGTTAGGAATTATATATCAGTTAAATTGATTACATGTATTGGACTTTTGTGTGGCCTGTAGTAGAGCATTATAGTGCATATGTATTCATAGATGACACAGTACCTATATTTACATAGATTAGGTTTCTAGTTTTGTTGTCGTTAATATAAATTATTGTCAGAAGAATTTGTTTCAGAACCTGTATAGTCAGTAGCAAAAGAGATATTGAACCAAGATGAAATGATTATTTTTAACCAATTAAGGACTGGTTTATGGGTTATAGGACCATGTTCGCAGCATATTTAACAAATGTTGTCTTAATGGAGTATAAGTCATTGTGTGGTTTGAAAAAGAATAAATGTTTGGAGTTCTGTATTTTACAAAGAATGGAAATTGCTTTAGTTATAACACATGAATTGATAATGGTATCAGAGCCTGACCCAGCCGGACGTGTGCCGATGAGGGACGTCGGGCCTCCAAGGGGGGTGGATTATGATGACCTTGTGGGCGGGTGCGAGAGACAATGTCAGGTTACCACATGGCGAGCTACGGGTGCACAGTCCCACATTTCCTGGGTAGAGGAAAGGTGAAGTGCTTATATGTAAGTGTGTCATCTCCAATTGATATAAGGCATTTTGGAGTAAAACTCAAGAGCAAAACTATGCGGGCTCAGGCCCAAAGCGGATAATATCATACTATGTGGTGGAGAGGGTCGTTATAGTGGATCGTTACAACGATTCTTTCTATAACCTTATTATCCTAAAATTCCATCTCATACATGATTCTTTCCATCACTTTTAATTTTTTCTTTTTATTTTTTATTTTTATTGGAATGCTTTTATAAGAAATTAATTTTTACAAAATCGATGATTTAAGAATCTAAATTCTTATTTTATTAATTTGTTTGTGTTTTTTATTTTTTATTTTTAATATTTTTATCATTGTTATTGTTTTGTTAAATTTTCAATTGTTACTTTAAAAAAAAAAAAAGATATTTTTGTTTTTTTTTTCTTTTTGGCAAACAAAGAGAGTTATTTAATTGAAAGTTTGTTTAGAAAGTTTGATAATTTTTTTTTTTAATTTAAATAAATTGGAAAAATTTTAAATGGATATATTTTTGTATGAATATAATAAATAGTAATTTTTTTTTTGCCTACATAATATATATATATATATATATATATATATATATATATATTTTCAAAAGTTCTAGCTAGGTGATTGTTTTTACCCAACCTCAAGATCCTGGCTCCGCCCTGTTCACACGCACTTGCATATCTAGGTCATCAAGAAATTAGTAAATAATTTAGATCCACTTCTTCTTCCTCCTTTATTTATTTATTTTTATTATGACAACACACACACAATTTTATGGCCACAGGATAGGTCATACGTGCAACTTATGACTACCTCTCTCTTTTTTTTTCAACTTTTTCACTCTTTCACAAAAATAAACCTACTTGCGTTGCATGTGAGTCTAATTTAAAATTAATATTAAATAAAGTAATTAAATATTTTTTCCCAATGGTAATTAAAATTAATTTCTTAAAATAATTACATTGATATATTAATTAAGATAAACAAATTGAAGATTAAATAATGATAATAATTTACAAAAATTTTACAATAATAAATTATATATCTCCATGTCTAATTAGATTTTTTTTTATTAAAAAAAACTCATAAAGAAACTTTTCTAAACACCTTATATTAATTAAAAATAAATAAAAACTCATAATAAATAAGTAATTAATTTGTTTTAAATTTTTATAGAAACTCTTAACTCTACTAAGACGTATATATTTCTTTTATATATTTTCTTGTATAATTATAGGGACTAAATTATTTATTTATTTTATATTTTTTTTTGTCTAATTAGATTTTATTTTATTAAAAAAAACTCATAATAAATAAGTAATTTAAGTTTTATAGTAACTCTTCTAAACAACTTATATTAATTGAAAAAATAAAAATTCTTACTAAATAGGTAATTTGTGTTAGAATTTTATAAAAACTCTTTTAAAAATTATTTTTATATTAATTAATAAATATTTTTATATTTATAAATAAATACTGAAATACAGAAACTCTTTACACATTTAATAATAAAAAATAATAATATAGATATTAATAATGAAGGTTATATATATTGGTCAAACTAATCTTGCAGTGAATCTTCTTTATCTATTTCACTCGATCAAAGTAACGAAATTTGTTTCCTTTACCCTCCAATTTTTTTTTTTTTTTCCTTTCCTTCCAACCATATATATATATATATATATTTCATTTGTACAAAAAGGAAACATAATTATAGATATGA